AAACTAGAAATTATATGATAATTTCTTTGATTAAAAAACTAATGAATTTATTTTTTGTTTTATATTGAATACTAAACGCTCAGTAAATTTATTATTTAAATTTAACTTTCCTTTAAATTGAGACATTTCTTTATTTAATATACTATTTCTAAAAGAATAATAAAATTAACTCATAATTCACACAATATTTTACAATTGAGAATAAATATGAGATAACTACAACTTTCCAAATAGTGAGATTAAATTGAAATAAAGTGATTCAGTAGTGAATTCATTTCACAATGTTTTATGTCATTGATTAAACATCTTATAAATTAGATTATTATATTATAATAACTTATAACTTTATAAATTAATACAGTATTTTTAAAAACTTATTATATTAATTTAACTTTGTTCATATTATTTTTTAAATATTTTATTCAGAATAAGTATTTAATATTAATAAATATAAGAATTCAATCGATATTATACTAAAAGGACATACACTATATAAGTACACCTGTGCTTTCAATTTATTCTCACTTTTTGGAAAGTTGTAGTTATCTCATATTTATTCTCAATTGTAAAATATTGTATGAATTATGAGTTAATTTTATGATTCTTTTAGAAATAGTATATTAAATAGAGAAATGTCTCAATTTAAAGGAAAGTTACATTTAAATAATTTAAATAATAAATTTACTGAGCGTTTAGTATTCAATATAAAACAAAGAATAAATTCATTAGTTTTTTAATCAAAGAAATTATCATATAATTTCTAGTTTACATGAAATATCCATATATAACATATAATTTATATATCTATAGTTGACCGGACAAATCTATTGATATATCTGCCAAAAATAGAAACAGTTATTAAATTAAATATTTATATATTATTTTATAATACGTCAAAGAGATGTAATTAAATATTTCGTGTAATCAATCAAGTCTTAATTTAATGCAATAATAAATGGAAATCAAAATATATATTTAAATTATGTATTAAAATTAGTCTTAATATTCTATTTTGATGTAAACATTATAATTAAAATAATGGAAAACAAAAGGTTTCAAATACAATAGAGACACAGATGTATATTTGCTATACTGTTTCATTTATTGTTTAAGTCTATATATTTCTATGGAAAGAGATTAAAAATACACACACAAAGAATAAAAATCAAATTTTTGTGTTTAGCTACTTAAATATATCAAATATAATTTGTACTGTGCAGTACTTATCGTGTTATTGTAACATACAGTATATTTATAATTAAGAGTGTAATAATATCCTTAAATCCTAAAGTAACACAATACGTAATCTATGGTTTAATTATTAATCCATTACAGAATCAGCAAACACAAAACTTTGATATTTTAAGATATATTATTTAAATAAAACTACAAATAAAACATTATTATATTCTCATGAGATTTAAATTAATGAAAAA